GAGTAGAGGGAGACGACAAATGTCTCAGCCTTCTCATTAACAATTCGATTTCCAATACTGAGACTTGGATGAGAATTTGTTAAAAATATTGCTGCTTTAATTGTAGGCACAGCTGTGGATGATAACAATCCAAACATGCAGCTTCTTTATATTTGGCAATATCAAATGATGTGGTTTGCTGGTTTAAATTTGTTAAAAAGGGTCATTATCCACAGAGAATCAACCAATGTGGACTCAAGGTCAAGTAAAGGCTGAGGAAGTTATTAATCTAAAGTCAAACTACATATTACAAGCAGGATAATATCTAGAATAAAACTTTCAGCTTGTAGAAACCCTCTTTGGTCTGATAGCCATAAAACTGAAGATCTTGGCCAGAGAGCCAGAGGCCGCCATCTTAAATCTGAAGTACAGCACTGGTGTTATGGTGTTTATCCTGTAAGTGTAACGATCTCAGAACGTTGGACCCAGAATTCAAGGCGAGACAGGCAGTGGAACCAGAACTGAATGCAGGACCTTTAAACTGGTCTCTTCCTTGGAGCCAGGCTTACTGGGATGAAAAGCTCAACCACCCCGCGTATAGAGCCAAAAACCCTGAGGACTTAGCAGGGGAGGAACAGTGGACGATTAGGAGACGAGACAGACACAAAATCCTCTTTCCATTGGCTGCCAGGATCCAGGACAAGAACCATGAAATAAACAGAACGGACAGACAAGCAGAAAAACAAATAATGATCTAGCCCTGAATGCTCAGGCTGAACTGAATATGACTTGGAGCTAGTCACTGACCTGCTTCAAAGTTCAGTCCGTACGCGGAGAACACAGCTGAATCCAGGAGGGAGGTTTGACCGCAGTTGTGGCGGGCGACGCCCCCAGAGTTCCTAGAGAGCGAGCGGAGCGGGCGCCAGCCGACGCCGAGCAGCAACAGAGTCCAGAAGGGAAAACCAAGGCCGAAGTCAGAAGACAGTTCCAGGTTCAGAAGCCGGTAGAATCCAGGATCAGATCAGACAAACAGAGCAGACAGGGGCAAGGCAAAACTCGAGATCCTCAGGGCAGAAACTGGTCAAAATCAGGAAAACAGAACAGACTAAAAAATGCTAGGAAACGTCTCACCAAAACACATGAATAACCTGGCGCTGATGGGAGGCAAACACACAACTTAAATAGAGGAACCAGGTGGAAATGATCGGCGATAATCAGCCGCAGAACCAATTAGACAGAGGAGCAAGGAGCAAAGGAAAATAACAAACCATCAGCGGCGAGATCATGAGTAAAATAACTTGAATTCAGAGGAATCACAAAGATATCAGCCCGGAGGTTAAAGCTTGCCTTCTTAAAGGTATTGCAGAGAATTTTTGTAAATTCTTTAAAAGACTCGCCCTCTCCACTTAAAAAAAAACGTGCAAGTATGAGAGCGTGCACGAGGAGAAATAGGCTTGTGCACTGTTTAAAAGTTGCTGTTCTCATAGCTTGTACAACCTCACTGTGTCCAAACCCCTAAATCCCTCAATCACTATATAGAGTGGAGACTTTATAGTGAACTTAGTTTACTGATCATTTGGACAGATGATCACTTCTTTTTGCTCTGTTGGTCACGTAACTCCTCCTTCATTGCAATGGTGCCTGCGCCATCTTTACTATTAGTCATGGCCGTTGTCACAGCAAATCCTATAATGCTTTGTGAGGAGAGATCTCAGCGCAAATAATTCTGGGATATATCTGTCTCTTGGCGGCCGGCCCATAGGGGGCGCTGGGGCACCGCCCTCCCTGATAAGAAGAGAGAAACGTAAAATATATTTTTAGAAATTAACTCATAAATGTCAGTTTTACTCTCTAGACTGTGTACCTATAAGCAAAACAAATTATAGAAACTACATTTCCCTATCTACTGTCATTCATTTGTGGATTTCCACAGACAGACTCCTACCGTCTCTGTTCTCGGGGCGCTGATCAGGCAGCCCCACATGTGC